ATGTGGGTTTGAGGAAGCCATTGACGACCCAGGGAAGATCTTTGGTTCCCAGTTTTGCTTGCAATCATTTTCAATGGCTCTAGAAAAATCAATATCTCCAACATCTGCGGGCGACGAGTTCCAATCCGTTGGAATCCACTTGCCGCGTTTCGTTTTTACCCGAGCTCCACTTTTTCGTTTCTTTGGGGGCGAAGCAGTCATGTGTCTCTCGGTGAGAGAATGGCTTCTTGTTGTACCCAAGATGGACGAAACAGGGAAGGCACCCCAAACGGCTTTAAAAGGAAGGCGCCGCTACTAGGAGCAAGGACGCTACTAGGGGCTCCTGGCCTTACTAATTACTAGGAGCAAGTTCGCTTCAAGGCCCGAGGCTGATCTTTTCTGACAGATCCGCGAGCACTGAGTTCAGATCTTCGTTGTGTTGACCCTCCCAGACCGACCCATTTGGGTTATGAAAGGACCCTCCCTTTGAAGCAGGATGGTTGAGGACAATTTCTCTAAAGCTGCAAGGCTTTTGAGCCTCACAGAAGAAGAAGAAGAAGAAGAAGAAGAAGAAGAAGAAGAAAAAGAAGAAGACAAATAATGACACTCGGGCCGCGGCTTCAATGCTTCGAGTCCGTCAGGTGCAATTTTCCGACCGTTCCGGGCCCTCTGCGGGGCAGCTCACGAACAGTGAGAAGTGCACCAACAGCGAGACTTTGGCGCCACTGTGTCATGTGGAGTCCGAGTGGGGCATCGAGCAACCGAAAATCAGCAAGGAGAGGATGTGGCGCTCAGCAGGGCACAGTCTATGGTTCATGCCAGTGGGTTTGGGGTGTACAAATCCCATCTTGAGCTTGTAGTACGCCTCCAAATAGGAAACCCACCAGATGGTCACATGCGCAATGCTTCAAGAATATTCAGGAATCACTTCTCGGTGTGTGAGTGTGTGTGTGTCTCTGTTTGATTTGGGTCCTTTTTGGGTTTCCATCTTGCGTAATGCTCTGGCTTTCCTCATGAACATGATCAAGGACCAAGACGGATCCGGGATCCATGGATCTCTTCAAGGTGGTTTTCAGGAATTCAGACACCCAACCTCCGAATGCCAACTCCAGCACCCAAGGCAAAAGAAGACCTCCTACCCTCTCCCAAGGTGCTCAGTCTTCTCAAGTGCCAAGTGGTCTTCAAGGTTCATTCAACATGACTCTTCCGGATTGGTGCCGTTGCGGTCGCCGTTGCGGTCTCCAACGATCTCGGGTTCGCTCCGCTTGCGAAGGGGCGGAGGGTTCGCCAGGAGGCCAGATGGAGAAGACCCATAGAAGGGGTTCTCAGTGGGGAGGATGATCCACACGGAAGACTGGAAAGAGTGAAGCTCCCAGCAGTCCAATAAATCTGTTAACGTTTCACCTGAACCACCCTGGTGCGATCGGTGGATTTACTCCACCCGCACCCTGTAGTGTGGGGGGCACGGCCTGAAGGCGTGTGCCGCTGTGTGGCAGAAGCATTTGGGTCTCTAAACAGGAGGCCTCTGAAGAGACAAGTCGAACGGCGGGCACGAAACGCCGCTTTTCCATCGTCGTCGTCGATTGGGAGACCTTTGGAGTTGGGTTGGAACCGGTGGCGACGCCCATTTCACTTGCAGATGCCCATTTATCCGTTGCAGCGAGATGACTTGGGGTTTCTGAGGCCTGAACGTCATGTTTACGGTACATGGGAAACGGTTGGTCGGTCAGAGATTGTGTAACTCCTTTTCCCTGCAAGCTTCGACGACATGGGTGTTGAGGGCGATTGTTTCTGGCTCCTTGGATTGCCGAGCCTGACATCCAACCCCTTCTCCTTATTGCTGGGGCTGTGAACTGCTAGAGCTTCCCCCCTTCTCCCCATGCGCCTGACGAGCCCCCATTGACGATGGATCTTCCCAGTGCGATTGAGCTCTCTTTGCCAGGCCACGAGAAGCTGTGGAGACTGGCGTGTTTATGGGCAATGTTCGGGGGTTCGGGGGCAAAGTGGTGACTTCCAACAGAGCCCTGACCGGGAGGCGTTCCAAGATTTTCTTTCAAAGGTTTGTCAATCAACTTTTGTTTTCGATTATATACTTTTGGAATGGAAACCGGTCGCAGTGGTGAAAAGCTTGGTCTTTGGCCATGGGGCAACGTTGACATCCAACGCCTGGACCGACTGGGTCGTTCACAGATTCTCCGCACTGCTAGACCGAGCTGATGGGCTGCCGCTCCTGCGGTCTTTTTCGCTCCGCACAGGTTCAAGGGTTCTCTTGGAAGCTCCGACTTCAACACCATTGTATAGACACTAGTGACAATGGATGCTCCTGAAGTCGGTGGACAGAAATCCATCTTGCTCATTCATATATACATTATACGCACTATATACACTACTACGTATATACTATAGCGACGGACTGAAAGATAGAATGCCTGGCAAAAAGCTGAAATGAAACATAGAATGCCCGGCAGCCTAGATTTTGGGGTTAAGACATAGAATGCCTGGCCACATCCCCTGATCCACATATATTTACATATGATATGCATCTATCCTCCAGTCCGTGATAGGAACAACCAAAATAGTGGCAAAGGAAAGCATGGTGCAAACTTTACGCCTTTCTGTTTTCAGCGGTCTTTTGAAATATATATACAGTAAATTATATATATGAATTCATCCCCATTTCAGGGATCTTCGGCAATCTTTCCAACTAGAATTGAGAAACCAACGCCTCTTGAATCCCTGCTTTAAACGATAATGACACTCTCAATCGAGTGTATCAAGCAGCGTACGATGAATTTCAGCCAGAAGCGTTCACCACTTAGAATGCCGGCACTTGGAGCAGTAGACGGACCGTGCAGCTGGTGTACCGTGCATTTCTTGAATAAAGCACACATATATACATAAAGTTCAATCAAGGAAAACCACTGTATAGATTAGTAATTATGAAGTAGTAATGTGTATAGTACATAGATCGATTTATAGCTTTTGGTAGATATATATATATATACATAACTGTTTCAAGTATGCACAAAAGCCATTCTAGCGCAAGGCAACGGATACTGTACTATAATTTGCTTTGCCCTGGAGATCATTTTCTGTTCTGCGGACCACGGGCGTGCATTCGAGGGGCCTGAAAAAATCACACACCGTCGTTCATAGATTGTTGCAGTTCTCCTTTCGGAATAGGAAGAAACAAACCAGCCCAAGATTAACATCAGGAAGCACGCTCTGACCACTTAGAATGCTGGAACATGGGGCTGTGTAGTAGAGGCGAATCAAGCCTTCTTCAAAATTCCATGAAACAGACGGGATATGAATACGTTTCATGCTCCCGGGCTGAAGGATAGAATGCTTGGCCTTGATCGTGCATTTATCCAGGTGGCTTTTCCTTTTCGATCCTCAAACTGATACAGGAAATCGTTCATGTTGCGGCTGAATTGGAGCACTGTTTTCTTTGCAGTGATTATGCCCCCCATAGTCTGCAAAGTAGAAACGCCGATTATGACCCTCCAGGCGCGTAGAGAACCTGACAAGTGCGCATGCCCATGAATGTGCAGAATTGCTCAAACAC